CCTGACCCGAAACATCAACTTTCCTACTCCTCTGGTGCTGCCTGGCCTGCTGTGTTCCTCCAGCTCCACGTTGTGTTATCTCTGACTCCAGCATTGGTAGTCCTTACTATCTCTAATCGGTTACTGGTAGCTGGAGATGTTTAAAAGTTTTTATACCCAGTTCCAATCTATCAGAAACTTTGCATATAATTATTCATTGTGCTAAATCCTTTAAAATATATGTAGCAGTGTTGATAAGGATGTTCATTTATAAACAAGGCAGCAAATTGTTACAGTTAATGGGTATTACTTGGATTGGAAAAAGATTAAAAGTAACGTATTCCAGGGGTTAGTCCTAAATCCACTTTCGATCTCATTAGATTTATTCATTTAGAGGCCTGTTGGAGCATGGCATGCTTTGCCACAAGAAGCAGTTGGGCCGAGAACATTGCACTTTTCAAAAGATGATCTTTTCAAGAAATTCTTGAAACAGAAAAATATACAAGGGTATAGGAGGGAAAGTTCAGTATGGGATTAATCTCGGATTAACGTAGCAAACCTTGCATAGGTGAAAGATTGAATGGCTTTCTTCTCAACTGTAAAGCTTTCTGTTTCTGTATAGGTTTCTTCCAGTCAGAGAGAAGCAAGATTGTAAAAACATTCAAAGAGAGTGTTAATTGAATTAGCTGATAAATCAACTGAGTATCTTGGGAATATATTCACTGTGGTCAGAAATGCAGCATTTTAATCGTAAAGCAACTAATCCAGGAACAATTACTTCTTTCAGTATCGTATAACAAGAATGAATATAAAAATCAAAACTGCAGCATTTTTCACGTTATTATCAGAAAAATGCCAAAGTAATTACACTGCATTGCTTAACAAGAACAGATAATATAAGCAATCCATTCAAGTCTTAATTACAGCCCAGGCAGGACCAAACAGGGCATACAGTTTCTCTGAATAGTATTCTACATCACTGTATGTCTTCGTACAAAACCATATTGCTATTCAATTTCCAGGGCAAACTGGCAGCCATTTCTCAGCATTATTTTCGGCTCAAATGAAAATGTCTACATTTTTCCGAAAAGGTCAGGGATTACAAATGAGAAGCAACCTTTTCCTTAAGGCATTTCTTGATACTCTACAGGGATGTGTAACTCATTGTTTAAACTGCCAAGGTACTTCACTGGGACATTTAACTTAATCACCATAAAAAAAAGCATTGTCTCCATTCCCATCCACCCCTTGTATTGAGTTCACCTTTTGTAATCACTGTATTGTTTTCTATTAGAAAACATTCTTTTCAGCAATAAAATGCTGAGAAAAAGCAAATGGACAAGAGAGAGTGACAATAAAAGAAAAGCGAGATGTTGATATATTCCACTTAAAGCAAGTCTGCAATTATTGTGATCAAGATTTCAACTCTTCTGAAGCATAGTGATTTCCTGACACCAGAGAGAAAATAGAAACCTTTATGGCAGAACCTCTGATAAAGATATGCCACTGCCCTTTGACTTACACCAAAACCTAAATGAATGAGTGAGAGAAAGAACAGTGCGATCAGCCACAGTACCACCTAAGTCAACAGTTCGAAAGGACAGTGTGATAACCCACTGTACCATGCTACCCCAGAGTATGAAAGGATGGTGTGATAACTCAGTGTATCATCCAGTCCCTAAGTGTGAAATCAGAGTAAATATTTAGAAAATAAAAGAAGTAAATTTCCCTTGGTTCCACATTTTTAAAAAGTCAAATTTCAGCTTTGATTGAAGCCACTTCCAAATTGCTGCATCCTTTACTGGACTGAAAACAATCAATGCTCACACCTGCTCTTTGGTCTTAACAACTACTGTAACCAAGTGACAGCTCAAAACAATGTTCAAATAAAACCTGACAACTAGTCAAGGAAGGGTGTGCGATAATTTCTTCTGCCGACTCATAAAAATAAACACAGCTTTTAAAAGACTCCATTGGTCAAACTTTACCTCACTCAGAAACCATGAACTTAATGAAGGTTGTGCGTGAAGCTGATGATGTGTCCTTTAAAGACATATCATAGAATCTGTCATTAATGAACCATTAACCATCTGAATGACAAGTCAGCATGAGTCTACAAAGTGCAGTAGCAGTAAACGCCTGCAGTCTGCAAGCTTATACTTGTTTATTTTTCGAGGAGAGAATAGCCATCATTTAGCATTGATTTTACATTATTCATTTCCACTTTCTTTTGACAAATTACATGTATTATCTATAAAAACTCTTGACCATAAGCTCATTATGAAGAACAATGGTTATGATGGCAATTAAGAACTCGGAGCTTCAATATAGGCGTCACAATTAGTCAGAGGTTTTACAGTAAAAAAGGTCCTTCAGCCCATTGATGATTGGCCTGACACAAACATCTTGAGGGTTTCTGCCTCACCAACCTTTTAGGCAGTGAGTTCCAGATTCCCACTAACCCTCTGGATGAAAACATTTTTCCTCAAATTCCCTCTAAACCTCCTGCTCCTTGCCTTAAAACTGTGGACCCTGGTTACTGACCCCTTTACTTGGGGAAATGTTTCTCCCTATCTACCCTATCCATGCCCCTCATAACTTGTGCAGCTCCATCAGGCTGTCCCTCAGCCTTCTCTGCTCTAAGCAAAGCTAAGCCTATCTAGTCTCTCTACGTGACTAAATCGCTCCAGCCTAGGCAACATCCTGGTGAACCTCCCCTGCACCCTCCCTTGTGTAATCACATCCTTCTTATCGTGTGATGATCAGAACTGTACACAGTGCTCCAGTTGTGGCCTAACTGTTGCCTTTGTATTTTTTTTAAAAATCACCACAACTTTAGTCATCTTCAAGACTTGGGACTGTTCTGTAGCCCATCTCCAATGAGTATAAACAAAAATATTTATGCTTTAAAAAATTTCTTAATGTCAGCAACGAGATAAAAGACTTTGAGGAAGTTTTGTTTTTAAGTCCTATGCCTAAAGGAGATAATAAGTAGCTATCTTGCAAACAAAATATACGATGAATTACAATGCAACACTTAACCCACAATTAGAATATCGTGCTCCATTTCTATCATCATGTCGCACAAGAAAAACATTAATTACCAAAGGTCCAGGACTTCTTACTGGTCAATGTCAAGTTTGCGTTCCCTTGATTACTTCAGCAAAACTAGCATTATTTGTGGGAAGAAACAGCTGTGAAAACCAGAGGTCAAAGGCGACTGATATTTGTCTGTGTCACAGAGGCCCAGTGATGATGAACGGAAACAAAGACCGAAGCCAACGTTTTGTGATAATTAAATAATTGAAAGGAGATTACAGAAGTCCCTACAGAAGAAAACTGCAAGATGGGAAACACACCCATGAGACTTATGTCCATACAAGATGAGACAGTCGTTTACTTTGTAAGGTACCATGGCTAAAAACTAGCAACCTCAGGATCAAGCACCTGTTTGATTTGGGCTCTTACTGGATTTCTGGTCAAGCAGTTATGGTCAAGCCAGGTTGAAGAGGGTCACTGTTGCTTGGAGTATGGACCACTGCATAAGCATAAAGTGGATAACTAGTCTAGAGCCACACCACACCAATGCAGTGTTTTGCTGAATTATCCAGGTAAGTTTTACTTTGTTTTACTCAATTAAAACGACACATGGCACACTCTAGACTCACAAGCAATTGTACGGAAAAGAAACTATTCATTGGGAAATCAAAAGAATGAAAATAAAGCATCCAAATGGTATAAACAAGGTAAACTCAGATTATAACAATAAAGTGAGGTCAGGAAGAGTTACCAGAGTAAAGAGATGGAAATTCGTAAAATTTTTTAATATCAAATGAATCCTTTTAAAAGGATTTCAAAGCTTTGAATGAAAGTTTCAAATGGAAGTTTGAAAAGCAACATAATAAAAAAAATTAAGGTTCTCCAAAATAATGTTAGACCATTAAAGAAGAAAAAAATGCAGTAAGGGACGAGCTTTGATTGACCAAATAATGAATCCTAATCCCTGGTTTAGATACAAGTGAAAGGAGAAATACTCAAATGTTTGAAAATTAAAGGTCTGAATTTTGTAGTGATAATGATGGTGCAGCAGTTAGAGTTCACTGTCATTCCACCAATGAGAATGTCAGCAACCTCTGGAGTGCGCACATGGAAATCCTGAAGTTACCTGGGCTACTTGCATTGTTTCAGAGGGTGTGCTCTTTAACTCTGTGACAACATTACATCCACATTAAAATGAAAAGTATGGAACTGGCACAAATGTGAACTAACTGTCCAGCT